TAGAAAATTGCCTAAGTTACAAACCTAGATAACAAGGATACAATCTTGTTTATCAAAATCAAGAGAATGCTAAGTCCTTAGAAGTATTTAACGAATACTTCCGACAACTCTGGAATCTGATGAACCTCGAATACTTAGAAAAATATATCTAAGTTATCAGGGAGGCGTAAAACTCAAGATGCGAGTATAAAGACAAAATCAGTCAGCGGGAGTCTCACCCCGTTCTATCTAAACGTCACGACAATGCCAGCTGGAGTCAAAAAGGTAAATGATTTTGATCAAATCAAAATCTGTGAAACACACGGTATGCATAGCCGGGTTGAAACAGAAGACGATATCACAACGAGATTCTGGCAAAGCCGAGCTCAAGTGAATAAAGCTACAGTATATAAAAATGGGCTAATTCAACTCTGCAAACGAAACATGCGGAGAACCGGGAACAAAACCCCGCAACATTAGTGAAAAGGGATCTCAAAGATACTCAAATCAGCAAAAAAGGCAAATTGCAAAAACAAGTCAGTAATCCGACATAAAGATGCTTGAATTAAAGTAATACAGCCCGACATTTCGTATTTCCCGACTGCCGGACTGGGGGGCAAGTGCAGGAATACAACCAAAATTAAAAGAAGAAAACAACAACCTCATAAGTCAAGATCTCGGTACGACAGTCAAAAAGACTGGTCAACTAGTTCGAGCTACGTACCTCGACCAAAAAGGTTGAGGGAGGAATGTTGAAACAGCATACACGGTACTCAGCTCATGAGGCTCGACACCGAAGAAAGAACGAAATAAGAAAAAATAAATCCAAAACACGGATCGATAAGAATCCATGAATTCAGAACATGGATCAATGAACCACCACGATCCCGACGACAGTAATAAGACTTCGGCAAAGAGGTCCAAGGGAAAAACTTTCCTACTTCCAATAGAGACCTCGGTCACGGAAGTTTGACCAACAAGATCATGCTTCAACAGACTTCCCTTTGGACACCCTAACTACCGCGTAGGAAAGCAAAAGAGGATGTCTGAAGAAAGAATTCGACATAAAGTTGAAGCCATACATCACAAAACGAAGGCTCGGACCATGAACATGGCCGAGTTCTAGGCATTGAGAATAAAATATTCACAAAATGCGATCAAGAGCGACGCACAATAACCCAACTATATCTATCAGATATGCACCCCGGAAACCCAGGCTGCCGAATTTGGAAAGATGTGGTCTTGGAAAAAGGATCACACCTCAATCCGCGATAAAATGAAGACGGATTTGGGAAAAGAATCGCACCCCAATCCGCGATTACTGACAAGAAAGTTGGTAAGGAGAACTGAAAACTCACATCCGGGATCCACGAAATGAACACCTGGACACAACGATGTTAAGCTGAGTTACAAGGATGATGCGCTTGGGGACAACTCGCCAGTTCGATCCGCACAACTCAAGCGCATTCATCACCCGGTTATATGGAATGTACGCAGTATCTTGCCGGGTTCATGCTCAACCCGCCAAGATAAGGGGCAATGAAGTACCATTCCCGTTCCAAAAATTCAAAGCCTAGAATGCATGGGAAAGTTAAAATAAGCCAAAGTCAAAAAATGACACTCTGGCAAGAAGCTGAGTTAAATATTATAAAGCCAAGGTATTGGAAACCAACGATTAGCAACATGCAAAAACCTAGATTGAAAACGGATTAAAAATAAAAAGCACACTACATGACAGTGGCTTATAGCCGAGGCATAGGAAAACGGAAGGACACTTCTGAATCCTAAATGTTGTCAAAATAAAGAACATGTGTACAAGCTGTGATAAATGAAATCAGGCTTGAAAAATAAGTGGCAGATTGGTACGACCTTAATCAAGTCACCATGACACCTCAAAATTGAAAACCTAAATTGGGTTAAAAGCAAAAAGTGGAATCCGCATAAAAGACCATGGCTAGGTCATTTTGTTCAGTCAACGCTGAAAAGCTAAATCTGAATAAATAAAGCTACAATGCAAGAAGTTGGGCTCAAAGTGAAAGCCTCGGAAGGAGAAGCCGAGCTCGATGTTGAAAGGAGGCAAACATTGCCTCACCAAAGCACCACCTCAGCCAAAAAAGGTTGAGGGAGAAATACGAAAATAAAATATTCAATACTCGGTTCACTAAAAATGGCTGAATAAATGACAGAGATAATAACCGCAATCGCTAACCCAATTAAGTTGGCCAAGGAAAGTTCCAACCCAAAGAAAATTGCTTCAATGAAGATACCAAGTCAAAGCGAGAATTCGACCGCTAACTTGAAAATCAAATGCAGATATTACTGCTATTACATGCAAGTATACGACAACTCTTATCCGGGTTATGTGAATGATGTTTGGGGGCAACTCGCCAGTTGGATCCCAACTACTCAAGCACATTTGTTACCCAATTACACATGCAGAATATCTTGAAGGGTTCATGCATAACCCGTCAACATAATTGACAAGGGAAAATCATTCCCGGATTCCAGAAGAAAGCTACAAGCTCAGGACGTGTGCGTATGGAATGATGCTTGGGGGTAACTCGCCAGTTGAATCCCAACCACTCACTCGTCCCAAACTCGGTATAGGAATACGTGAAATATTTTCCATGGTTTATGATCAACCCGCCAAGATAAGGGGAAATGAGGACCTCAGTTTAAAAGCTTGGGATGTAACGAACATATATGCAAAAAGTTTACAAAAACTGAAATGCTCTCAGCTCAGCAGAAAACCTGAAGCAAAAGGCAAGACAATTCACCCCGGAAGCCTGGACAACCAAACTACCGGGCTGAGGGGCAACTGTTATGGACCTGGCAAAGGCCTATATTCTAGATGTCTCAAATAGGGCTAACAGCTAAGATGGAATTAAGAAAATATTCCTTAATTATACTAATCCTACTACGACAGCAATGGATCAACAATTGGACCCCCAATACTCCTAAGAGGCCGAAAAGTCCACTCCTGCCAGGTAACCCATCTATAAATAAGGGTTCAACCAATAAGGTACACACATTCTAAACTCTCTCTCTTAGCTTGTCACTGTGCACACCCCACACCTTGACTATGTCGTTATATTATAGTCCACAGTAGGAATATATATGCAAAAAGTTTACAAAAATTCAAATGCTCTCAGTTCAGCAGAAAACCTGAAGCAAAAGGCAAGACAATTCACCCCGGCAGCCTGGACAACCAAACTACCGGGCTGAGGGGCAACTGTTATGGACCTGACAAAGGCCTATATTCTAGATGGCTCAAATAGGGCTAACAGCTAAGATGGAATTAAGAAAATATTCCTTAATTATACTAATCCTACTACGACAGCAATGGATCAACAATTGGACCCCCAATACTCCTAAGAGGCCGAAAAGTCCACTCCTGCCAGGTAACCCATCTATAAATAAGGGTTAAACCAATAAGGTACACACATTCTAAACTCTCTCTCTTAGCTTGTCACCGTGCACACACCCCACGCCTTGACTATGTCGTTATATTATAGTGCACAGTGATCCACTTATCTTTAGGGTACCTCTCCTATAGGTACCTGAAGGAGGGCAAACAGATCCTATATTAACATACCAATCTCTGATTAGACAATCACGATCTATCAGATCGTAACAAATACAAAATAAAATGATTTTATACCATATAAGCTCATTACCACATAACTATGTGGAAAATTATTTCATGTGAAAATCAATACCATTTAAGAACAAATCATATGACTCCAAAAATCAAAGTTTATGTGATTGGTGTTACTAAATTCATGATATATTATACCTTTTATGGTATCAGGAGAAAGAAATTTATGTAAAAAGCAATGAAAGTAGTAAAATAAAAAAAGGGTAAGATATTGTAACAACCAATTAGTGTTACCACCAATGTTACTACCAATCAATTTCACCATTAGATCGATTATGTTGATCCAACGGTTATATTTATTTTCATTTTTGTATGGGTATGATTCCCCATATTTAATACTTTATATTTATTTTCAAATGGTTAACATTTCAAAAACCTTTCATAAATTTCTACCACAGTAAGAAATTTAAATATTTTTGTTATGAATGCAGACGTTGACTATTTTCTAATTTTGTACCAATGAATGATGAGTGAAAGAAACCAACTTAATTAGGGGGCAAACCCATTCTGTTTGATATTTTCAAATTTATTGATTTTTATTGCAATTTAGTATATAAATTATGAAAAAGGATATTATGACAGCTAATGATATTGTTATATAAAAAATAAATAAATCTGTATTCCATTTAAAATTAATTGTAACATAAAATCCATTGTTATAGAATCAATGTAATAAAAAAACATTATTCCGTCACCAATCTGTTGCAATCTATAATTATTCAAAATTTATACGGAAGTTATATTTCGCACAAAATTACGGCTAATTAGCTAGAGGCTGTATTGTGGAATTTGTGGTGAATCAATTTCCATTCCAATTCCTTAAGATATATAAATTTTCTTAGTGATAGTCAATCACAAACCTATCAAAACTGGTTACAAAAAGCTATCGACTTTTACTATAATGAACGCACTACTTATGTTATTCATCTCAAATGAATAAAGAAAAAATAAATCAAAATTAATACCAATAATTTCATATTCAAATCTGCAATTTGAAGCATGAATTGCATAACAATCGTTTAGTGATGATAAAGCCTCTAAATTGAAACAAGAATTTACAACTTCAATGATTAATTAAGTAACATATCAAGATCCGAAAATTCTGTTTTGGAGGTTTCATCAGTAATCAATCAGGAACCTCTCAAAATCCGTTCCAAGAAAACAATCGCAATTGAATTTCTTACCAACGAAGATATAAAGTTATATCATTGTTCATCTCAAATGAATAAAGAAAAAAATGAAACAATATAAATAACAATAATTTCTTATTCAAATCTGCAATTTGAAGCCTGAATCACATGACATAACATCATTGATAATAAATTAAAAATCCTCTAAAAATTGAAACAGACAATTTACGTCTTCAAAGCTTAAGTGACAAATCAAGATCAGAAGATTCAGCTTTGGCGGCTTCTTCTGGCACAGAATGATGATCAGCGGTTGCTGTTAGGGTTGGTTTGTTTATTGCTTGGCTTGATGAAATGGTAGCAGCATTTGCTGAAAGAGGAAGTCTTCTAGCGGTACCATTATCATCCTCTAGCCTTGAACTTGGAGTTGCACCACTTCTCAGAATTCCAAAGCCACCAAGTGCTGAAGAGTTTAGAATTCTCTGACCCTGATTTGACCAAGCGTGACCATACATGGAACTAGTGGAGTACCAAGAAGGATAGAAAGGCTTCTTGTGAATCGTGGAGTCGCTTCGAACCCCAAGTGCATTATTATTAAAGGATCCTTCATAGAAATTAGAAAGTGTTGAATAAGGGTAATAAGGAAAGTGATCAAAACTACCAGCACCAACACCAAGGGTTTGACGACGTTTTGCAAAGGCACGCTCTCCTTTATGAGCGTTTTGATGCCCTCCCAAAGCTTGTGAGGTAGAGAATTTTCTCTTGCAAAAGTTGCATGAGAAACTCTTTGCCTCTGTCTTTGAGTTTTCGTTTTCCTCAATGCCTTCAGTGTCATGAACCCTAGAATTAGATGAACCAACAACATTATTACCTGATGGCTTGAACAGATCAAGTTCAACATTTGGTTCAGGAGCAGCAACCTTATCGCCATTGGAAAGCTTCAAGAGATCTAGCAGCGCCAAGGGTTTGGAACTGGAAGCCTGATCTAGTTCAGGCTTGAGACCAATCTCACTCAGTTTCATGGCCATATTCTCATCTTTGGAAGTTGATGAGATGCTAGAGGCTTCAGAGGGACAAGGATTCACACCGTGTGATGCCATGGCAGAAAAGTTAACAAATATTGTAACTTTTGAATCTCTGTGTGAGAGTGAGAGTGAGAGTGAGATTGAAAGAAGCAGGCACAATGAAGGTTATTTATAGAGTTTCAATTCAATAATATCTGCATTAACGGGTAGGAAGAAGATCTCGTTTTGCCGTTTTTATTTTGAATTATTACGTCAACAAAATATCAAAATATTCTTAATCACAAAAATTTCCATAATTAAGAAGGCGGGATGAGTTGTGTTAGTCAATCACAACTTATATGTAGTTCAAATATGATATCAACCTAGAAGCGGAATTGATATGATTACTTACATTCAAATATTTTCCTAGCAAAGAAGTTTCTTGACGAAGTTAATGAAGAAGATATGAAATATAATATCGGCTTAATTAATGACCATTATTTTTCTGGAATATTTTTTTTAATATATTTTCTTATAATATGACTAGATATAAGAAATAATATGATATTAATTTGACACTGTAGATAACTTTTTTGGAGCTTACAAGAAATTGAACACAACACCCTACACTACACACACTCCTAACACACACACCCCACACCACTAGGCTAACCCTAGTGGTGCCACTGTAGATAACTTTGAACCATCCATTATAATTTTTAATTTAATTTTTTTCCTTTCCCAGGAATTGACGCAACGATTAATTGGTGATTGATGAAAAAAGAACTTTAGTACTAAGAAGTGACTTAAAAAATTACCATAAAGTGACTTCCTCATTCATACTTACAATTACAATTGAATAACTAACGTGTACAATTTCAAAGATAAGGTTGATAAAATTTATAAAAAAAATGCGATATCATTATTCTATGTGAATTATATGATATATATTATAGAAAAAAAAGTATTTGTTATGAAATACATAAATCAGAACTGTATCATAATAATAAAATCAAGATATAAATTATTGAAATTATTATAAAAATACTCCTATTTTAATATATGCATATACTAAGTTAAAAAATTAAGTCAAATTATATCATCTATCTTTTTTATTTTCTTTGTCTGGGTTATTTTGAAACAAGTCTAGAAAAATTTATATCAAAATCTTTTATCATAAATATTATATAAATTTTTAGTTGGTGAAAATTTAATTTTATAAACTTAGAATTTAAGTTTTTAATTCAGCTTGAAATTTATTTTTTAAATTATGTTATTGTGTTATTTAAATTTAAATAATTAGTTTTACAAAAAAAAAATATTTATAGCTGCACAATTTTTATTTTTATTTTTTAAATTCTCAGAAGTAACAAGAACCGACGTCTTCAGCTATGTTCTGACAACCAAACTCACAACTTGATTGATAATACGTTAGTGTACGGGTAGTTAGCTAACGCAAACTTAAATCAAATAAGAAGAATAAAAGAAAAATATCTCTTCAAATTTCATTTAATATAAATCTGATTCATTCTATCACTTCTCGTTCAAATACGCCTTTAAAAAGAAAAAGGGAAGTTTATGATAACGGGGACTACAGTCCAATCAACATTATACACCCCTCGTATGTATAAAAAATTAAGATAAAATTTTATGAATGAAAACTAAGGTCATTTTAATGCTCAAAACAAGTCCCTCATAACTTCATTCAAAACGTAGGTCATGTTTAATGGATCATAAATATGATTGACCCATAATCTGATTTATATTAAATCAAATGCCAATAATTTCATCTATAAGACTTTTTTATTATTAAAAATTGATAATGAAGATTTATTAATAAGGAATAAGAAAAATATAATCGAAGAGACCCAGTGAAAAGAAAAAAATTAAAAAAATTAAAAAAAGTTATATATACCTTGCAGAAAATTATGACTAATTAGCGAGAGGTTGTATTCTACGGAATCAATTTCCATTCCAATTCTTTAAGATATATAGGTCTAATTATTTGGTGGTAATCAATCAAAAACCTATCAAAACTCGTTCCTAAAAGCTATCAATTGACTTTTTTTTACTAATGAACGCACTAATTATGCTATTCATCTAAAATTAATAAAGGAAAAATAAAACAAAATTAATACCAATAATTTCATATTCAAATCTGCAATTTGAAGCCTGAATTGCATAACAATCATTTAGTGATAATAAAGCCTATATAAGAACCCGCACCGTTAATTAAGAAATTTAATTAATAAATTATGAGAAAATAGGAAATGATTCCATAATTGACCCTAATAATTATTATGAGTCTTTAATAATTATAGTAAGTGAGTAATAATGCTGAAAGTCGCTTTTCGGAAGAAAAGTGCAGATACCGGTTCTGCTAGTCGATATAAATGTGTACCGAAAAAGTATCCCGGAAAATTATAATAAGTGCATGATAATTACTAGAATGATATGTAGGACTTGTAAAACGAGTTTCAAATCCAAATAATGAGAAATGGTGCTAGAAACCGGTACTGGCTTTGAAAAGCACGTATCGGAAAGGTGTTCAGAAAATTATAAAAAAAATATGATAATTCTTGGAAAAAAGTTTAGTTTCAGATTCCAAAGTTTGGGATTAAAATGCTAAGCGTAACAATTAAAGTTAATACTGTGTGTTTAAGTGCGTTTGGGCTATAAATACCCTTATTAAGGGCACAAAACCCTAGAAAATAGTTTCTCTACGTGGGTGAGGGGCTGTTCAGCTGCTGGTTCCACTGTTACATTGCTTCACCACCATTTTGTCAGCTTTGTGACCTTTCTTCTTCATTTTCTCTTCACTTTGTACCTTGGGTGAGTGGCAGAGATCATTGTGAGTGTGAAAGGAGCTCTTTTCCTGAGTGTGGTGGCTGTGTGGAGGCTGTTTGGGGTCTAAACTGCCTTGTGGGAGTGTGTGAGCTTCTTCCTTGGGTTGTTGGAGCTCCAAGGAGCAACCTTTGTGAAGAAAGGACCCTCCTTGGTGTGCATTTTCGTGTACAGTGAGAGACAGAACCTTGGAGCTGTTGTGTGAGCTCCAAGAGCACCCTTTTTTCTGAGTTTGAGCTTTGGTAAGCTTCATCACCTTTGATCTTGAGTCTTTAAGCTTAAAAATGGAACCTTGATGCATGTAAAGGTTAAAAGGTGATAACTTAACGTTGAGTAATGTCAAACACACCTAGAAATGTATGTTTAGGTGTTTAAAATCGGTAAAAACCCAACCTTGGAAGGATATCTTCACAAAATGCAATTTCTGCATTCTGTCGTGAAATATCCGGATATGTGATATCCGGATATGGGATTCTCGATATCCGGATATTGCATATCCGGATATGTCCAGTGAGATATCCAGATATTGCATATCCGGATATGGTCCCGAGGAATATCCGGATATTCTAGGATTTCGTAGAACAGTAGCTGTGTTGTGTGTACTGTAAGAACCCGCACCGTTAATTAAGGTATTTAATTAATTAATTATGCGAAATTAGGAAATGATTCCATAATTGACTCTAATAATTATTATGAGTCTTTAATAATTATAGTAAGTGAGTAATAATGCTGAAAGTCGCTTTTCGGAAGAAAAGTGAAGATACCGGTTCTCCTAGTCGGTATAAATGCGTACTGAAAAAGTATCCCGAAAAATTATAATAAGTGCATGTTAATTACTAGAATAATATGTAGGACTTGTAAAACGAGTTTCAAGTCCAGATAATGAGAACTAGTGCTAGAAACCGGTACTGGCTTGGAAAAGCGCGTATCGGAAAGGTGCTCAGAAAATTATAAGAAAAATATGATAAATCTTAGAAAATTATGTAGTTTCATAATCCAAAGTTTGGGATTAAAATGCTAAGCGTAGCAATTAAAGTTAATACTGTGTGTTTTATGGTTAAGTGGCTATATATATGCATTTTAGCACATAACCCTAGGCATACCAGAATTCCTTTTGTGAAGCACTTGGTGGGCTGAGGGTGGTTTACTGTTCCATTGCCTCCTTTCACCATTTTTGAACTCAAGTTGTCACCTTTACTTGATTTCTTCCCTCTTTGAGCTTGTATACACTTAAGAACATGCATGGTGAGGAAGTGTGAGGGTGTATTCTGAGTTTCCATCCTCTGTGTGTGGGTGAGGGTGCTGGTTTTGGGTGGTTTGGGTGCTGAAAGCCATAGTCATGGCATTTTGAGGTCCAAGTGGTGACTTTTGGTGAGAAGAACCAACCTTTGTGAAGCCATTGTCGTGCATCTTCCTTGAGTCAGACTTGAGGGGCTGTGTTGAGCTCCAAGAGCATCTCCTTTCTCTGTTTTAAGCCTTTGGTATGTATACCAACCTTTGATCTTGAGTGTAATGCTTAAAAATGAAAGCTTGATGCATGTTAAGGCTTAAAGATGATAACTTGTTGTTGAGTAATGTTGAATACACCTAGAAATGCATGTTTAGGTGCTTTAAATCGGTAAAAACCCAACCTTGGAAGGATATCTTCACGAAATGCAGTTTCTGCATTCTGTCGTGAAATATCCGGATATGTGCCCGAACAATATCCGGAAATTGGATATCCGGATATTAGATATCCGGATATGGGATTCTGAATATCCGGATATTGCATATCCGGATATGTCTAGTAAGATATCCGGATATGGAATATCCGGATATGGTCCCGAGGAATATCCGGATATTCTGGGATTTCGTAGAACAGTAGCTGTGCTGTGTGTACAGTAGGCTATTGGGGGTTTGTGGACCCTAGATTGATGAAGTTGAACTTCTGTAATTAATGAGCTAAGTCAGAATCAAGTGATTAAGGACTTATGGCTTGGTATGGAGCCTTAAGGCGTTAAACGTAAGGAGAGGCGTTGTCTTTAAGTTATATGCTTGTGTTGCATTATTATTGATATAGTATTGGTCCATAACAGATTGTGAATCTGCTGTGTTTGGACTTTGAGCTGTGGACTCTTGGCTTTTGGAGTTAGCTTGCAAGGTAAGCTTTCGTGTCCTCGGTTTAGCCATGTTGTGGTTCCACCATGTCCCATGGGGGTATGGTTTATGCATGTTGTGTACATGCTTTTGGATATTTGATATGTTGATTGAAC